ATTTCATATTGATAAAGGGTTATTGACGATAACATAATAGCTTTTTTTTTAAATATAGCAATATTTGTAGGTCATCGGTTACAAAATTGCCCCAGAAGGTGTAAAATTTTTAAGTTTTTAAAAAATGCAATTTATTTTTTTTTAATACCCAGAGGGGAATTTTTATTTAATTTTTCTGGTGACCCTTGTGACCACCCCTTTCATCCCCCTTCCTATGTATGTAACGCTTTGGGACACCCTCTATACAAATATTGCTTTTATATTGGTATAAAATATAATTTAGTAGCATCAGCAAATTAGGATCCTCTGCGAGATAGCAAAGTCATAAAAGTAATGTTTATATCTCGCCATATGTTCCAAATGTTTTATGCAGACCGTACATTTTGGTAGCGGGTAATACCGTAATTTATCTGAAATTAACTTAAGGTTTAGTTCTTCTTCTAATGCCTCTCCATTACTGGAGGTTGGCCGTCAGCTCAGCGAACCCTTTCCAGTCCTGTGACAAGCGAAAAAGTTGTTCAACGCTGGCAATAAGGTTTAGTTACCAGAGGTTTTTAAAATAGCTTTTATTATGTGATTATTATGTTACTAACGATCGCCCTAGACTTTGTCAGCTCAGAATTAAAAGAAAAGTAGTCTACGCATGAGCTTCACGTCAATGTCCCTTTAAAATTGATCCAGCAGTTCCAGAGGTGACCCAGAATATTCCCGACCTTGCAGAAAAACTGACAAAACATTCAAAAATTGGTTTTTCGTTATCGGCAACGAAAATACGTTTTTTTTTTCGATTTCATACACGACACTCCAATTTTATTATAACATAGTTAAAAGTTTTTTTTTTAATGTATTTATCCAAAACACTATAACCGCATAAAAGAAATAATGTGTAAGGATATGATTGCAAAAATAATACGGTAGCAATCGACTATCTTGCTGGGGTTTTTCCATACGTTGTATAGGAAATGAAACATTATGCAAGACTTCCTTAACTATATAAGATTATATATAATGCCGTGTATAACGTATATAGTTTTAAGAACAAATGTTGATATAATTACATAAATATATATACATAGAAATATATAACAAATTATGTTATAGTCTTATCAATCAAGAATACACTAAACTACATTTAATAAATATAAAATATTTAAACCCCGATAACCCAGAAGCCCAAAAGATCCAAATTCTCATTCCATATAAATATTCAATATTAGATTCGATTCCGCAGACAGAAGAGTGTTTTAGTGCAAAAAGCATGAACATTAATGAGATGAATGATAATTTAAATTATAAACAGAAACTACAAATTAATATGACGTTAAATTATAAAAAAAATAAATAAATAATAAGCAGACAAATAAAACAAAATATATATAAACAGTAACTTATAAGAATATGCTAAATAAAAAAAATATTTAAAAGCTTTTTAAAAATAAATTCATAAATGTTAGTATGTAAATGGTACCCTGGATGATTTTAGTTTTTTAATTATCATTTTGAAATGATAAACCCTTTAATAGTACTAGAGCCAACACACCTTTTTATTAACGATAGAATTTGATTTTAATTATTCATTAAATGATGCTCACTCAATTTAATTTTACAACTTATTTTATCGACAGATAAATAAAAGTAACAAAATGGTTATTCCAATTGTCAATTCTCACATAAAATGAATTTTATTTTTAAACAGTACATTAGAAAACATGCTAATATATTCACAGAACTCTATTCTGTTCTCTGTTGCTTTTATTTCAAGGTGTGTCGACTCTAGGATACCCAACTAAATAACCCAAACCACATCATGTCCCATGGATAAAAATGATACAAGCAATCGTGCCATTTACCTGCAGAACACTCTTTCTGTCCACGGTACCGGGGTACTTGGGAGTCGTTTTGACAATTTGGACGAAATTCTCAGGCACGTCGACAGCCACCTCCCTTCCTAAGAGCACTGGAGTCGTATCAAATCCCGGCGGCAGCTTGTACGACGCGTACACAGCCTCTCGGATGAGTACAGAGTCCGTCCGAGCGGAGTACGTCACCCCCTCTCTACAATCTATCAAGGAATCTTGTCCGTTAGATATAAGAAGTTGGATCTTGTGGTCGCTTAGGTTGTGTGTAGTGTTGGACGCGACTGACTCCGATTCGGAGATGAGGTCGCACTTTGCCGTCTCCAAGGAAGCTTTGCTTTGCTTGCTGCTGTAACTGATTGAGCTATCGCTTTGTGGGAGGGAGAGAAGTTCAATGGTTGTGTTTTTGAAGCTGCCGGATGCATCAGAGGCTGGTGGCGAGGTATGGGAGGTGTCTGAGGTGTCGGAGACGTCGCTGTCTCGCGCTGCGCTGCGGTTGCTGGAGAGCAAGGGCTGGTGGTCGCAGGCACGGGTGTGTACCTGCGGGGGACGCGGTGGCGGGTACCGGGGCGGGGTTTTGCTGCGCGCTATGAAGTTCTCCGGCACGTCCACCGGCATCTCGCGGTGCGGACCTGGAAACAACAGACAGACTTAATTAATACATGTTGCATATATGTATTAAAGACTTACGTTAATAATATTTGGCTTTTATAATTTCAATAGAATAGATGTTGAATAATATATGAAAGCAACTAAATAGATTTAAATGTTTTTACTACGCCAATTTCGTATGTTTATATCTGATGTTTATACACGTATTATAACATCTTGGATTGAATTCAAAGGTTTAAAAAATCGTAAGGAATAGAGTCTCAAGTATCTTAAACAAATTGTCGATAGCTATTTAAAAATGAGGGATCAATAGCCATGGATTGTATTAATAGCATTGGGCCGAAATAGGTCCGTTGACCCAAATAAAATGTTCCATAATAGGGCGCTGGATGAGCGGGCAATTAACTTTGAGGCGGGAGTGGGGAGGGACTGAGCCTGGCCAGGGTAATGACAAAGAAATTACTGTTAATGTAAACCAACTAACAGCTGTTTTCAAGTAGGTTTTAATGAATTTTAAATGTGTATATGGACATACCAATATACAAAAAATCTTCTGTAAGGCTAATAAATACTTTATTTTCCAAAGTTATTTTGTACGAAGTTCATTGTTCATAAATCTTAGTTTTAAAGGAGTTCCTATAACATTAAAATAACATCAACGTTAGTGATTTTATTCCCGATGTTTTGATAAACTGTAACTGTTGTTAACAAGTGCAGTAATACAAGGTAATCCGTCTTGCTAATCGTACCAATGGATTATAAATAGACGGTCAAATGTATTACAACAGTTTTTCTGCTTCTGCAATAATTGGTTTTTGTACACTCGCCGTACCAAGCGCTTCCTGTGTTGGTTTTTGTTTCATTGTTGTGAGAAGGCCATCTCTCGGTTTGGAAATGTCTGTCTGTCGCGCGTGACGATCTCATAAACAAATATAAACATTTTGTTATTCAAAAATAATAAGACCTAACTATATACCGTGTGGCATTATGGGGTAGAATAGGAATGACAATTAACAGTTCAGTTGATAAGGATACAGGAAAAATGTGTAAATACAGTACTTTAGTCAATCGAGTTAAAATTATATTTGTATAAAACCGATTCGAATTATTTATAACTTATCTTAGGCTCGACGCAGACGGGCCACCATTACGTGTGGCCGATAACGGCTACTTGCTAAATTAACAAAATGTATGAAAAATCATATGAACTGGTTGTCACTGGCCCTTTTGTCTCGGTTTTTACGTGTCCAGAAAATATAAGGATGCCGTTAAGATTGTTATAACAGTTACAATCAAAATTTTAACAAAGACATGTTTGTTTCGTGAGAAGTTTTACTTTGTTAAGGAAATAAACGAAATGCTAATTGCTATACGTCATGTTAATAATATAACATCGCTAGATCGTATGATGTTAATTTAAATAACAGTATTATACTTCAACTGTTTACAGAACTTTGTTTATAGAAACAATATCTAATCGAAATTACGCGTTTTGTTGTCTAAGAGTTAAACGACGCTGCTGAAACTCTTGTATTAAAACTGACAGATGTCTCTGTTATTTCAAAGAGAGTGAGAGGGATGAAGATATGTTTTTGGACCGACTAGCCTCTGCCTTGAAGAGGCACTGCGCAGAGGGCGCTTAACATAAACCTCGTTTATGTGTAACTAAGCTCTAGGGCTCAGGAGCCTCGGCTAGGGCTGTTTCTTCGATAATATAATCGAATAGAGGTTTTGCTATACAAGTATTTTTCAGTGGAAACAGTAATATGAGGTGGTTTAGTGTGTGATACAGACCGGTGTCGGAGGTGAGAGAGAGCATGGTGAGCATCTCGAGGTCGTCATCCGGCGGCGGGCGCTTCTCCTCCTCGCCGCCCAGCACGACAATGCTGGAGCCGGAGCGCCGTCGCGCCCTGGAACACAACGCATCATTCCTTCAAATGTTTGTTACAACTTTATATACTCACCCACTATACACAGTGACAAATCAAAATTGAAAACATTGTAGAATGCACAAGTCTAGAACTGGATAAGTGAGATACCTTCATAAGCGAGAGTCATTGTCTGGTCCGGACGGACGACCTCTATAAGTGAGAAACTCGAGATCCAGAGAATCTTCTATAAGCGAGAAAATCACGGTCCCTTGAACTCTAGTTTATTTAGATTGGTCTGTTAAAGCATATAGATTGGTATATAACTAAGATTTATATATTTCTTCAAGATTGTAGCATATAAAAAGAGGTTCACGGTCGATTGCAGACGGCAGCGGAAGTTGTTACTAGCGATCTGAATCGCTGCCCACCCCTCCTAGCTCCCCTTACATTTGTAAGAAAAACAGTATATGAATACAAATACACGTACAAGTAGATACGTTCTAAGTTTATATGTCTAATAGAAAGTTGAATATGGTAAAGACTACTTCATTTATCACATAATATTTATGGTCAGTTTTTTTTAATTCCACATATTAAAGTAATTTTTTGTACTAATAATTTCACAGTATTATCGTAGCTATTAAGTTTAATTTTTTGAAGCAATCTAAGAGCTAAAAATTTGTAAAATAAAATTAATACCAAAAATCTATGTCGTAGTGCGACTAAATAACAACCAGTCGACACTTTACTTATGTAAAGCACAATAAAATTCTCAATAAAAGATATTTAAAATCAATAGGGTATTATTATAGCTATAAGTAAAGAGTTACATCTCATGAGATGTAACTTTTTTCGTCTGTTAAATAAATACAAAGCAAACTGCTAGCACGCGAATGATACACGCTTATGTAACGGCAATTGTAATTACAAATAATGTATGGTTTTTGTACATGCTATATGCCTCGCGTGCGTTGTATTGTAACATCTCTTGTATAATACATTAGGAATAGATTGTCGGGTTTTTTTTAAACATCATAAGGTGGCAAACGAGCGAGCGGCCACCTGAAATCGCTGAAATAGCGAAGTGACTGTTGCCCATAGACATACGCTATTGCATATGCGTTGTCTACCTTTAATAAACGGGACGAGGATGCACAGAAATAAAATATTTTCCCTTCCCATGCATCCTCTCATCCGGAAAGTCCACTTCCACTTATCATCCTTTCCTTATAAGAAAAAGGGTGGAAAGGGAAAGAGGACTAAATTAGGCCACCAGGACATTTACACACACTCATCAGACGAAACGCGGAATAGCTTCCACTTGACGCCTGTCTTCTGTGTGGTCGTGGTATTTCACCGGGCGAGCCGGGCCAATTCGTGCGAAGATGTCAAGTAAAATATATATATATATATATCCCCTGTCTTGTTACAGATATAGCGGTTAATTTTTTGTTTAAAAACTTTTTTTTTAAATATATTCATCGAATTACTCCTCCAAATTTGGTGAGAATAAATGTCTGATTATTTACCCCGAGATTCGGCAGAGATATTTTGTAACAAAACGAATGATTATTCAGACTAATCCAACAGCACGAGGCTTACTTTTATTACACACCCAATGCTGGGAAAGTACTACAATAAAGTATACGGAGACTAACCTAGTCCCGAATAAATTATATGATTTATTAATTAAATTAAAATGAATGTAACAAATAGAAGGAAATATCGAATATCAAGACAAAATATGTGACGTTTACTTTTTGGAAATTAAAAACATTGTTCGACTCTTAACTCAATAGTTTTTCCGATAAAACATCAATTAAAAAAAATATTTAACAAAAATAGATCAGCAAATTAAAAAATTACATTCTTTCTTTATACTTCCTTAAGATTTTCCTCCTTTTTATATTTAAAACAATATTTTTTATGTCCTCATTCTATTCAAACTTGTGGTCACCCTAACATTTACATTTAGGACATTTTGGGGATCAAGCGCTCGCAGTCAAATGTAAAATTCATTCTGACGCAACTACCGTACGATATCCCGGTTAAATTACCAACAGGAATACGAAGAAAGAAAAAAGAAAGAAAGAAAGAAAAACTTTAAATGATTGCGAATAATAAAATCTTACTAATATTATAAATGCGAATGTTTAGATAAATGGTCTTTGTTTGAAGATATCTCCAAAACTGAACGCATCACGATGAAATTTGGCATTCATATAGAACATAGTCTGGAAGAACACATAGGCTACTTGTTAAGTTTGTTTCGTTGCCGCGCGGACGGAGTCGCGGGCGACAGCTAGTAGTATATCTATAAAAATGAGTATTTTCCTTTGTATCGAAAACCATCAATGTAGTTTTTATATCTATGCGATTAAAATTAACTAGTAATTAAGATCACAGCTCCGTAATGTGGCTTCTACATTTTAGAGAATCCTCTCCAAATTTGTGCCATAATGTACAATGTCCCGACTGGAGCGGAACGAATGGAGTTACGAACAATAGTATTTTACATCAGAGCATGTACACAATAAATCGATTGGTGACGTCACAATGCAATGACTCGGTCAGGTTTGTGGTTGCTTCAGACGATTTTATTAACGTCCATTCACAATATGGGTTACCACTAAAAGTATGTTATCTCGCTCATTCCCTTCTGACAAGTTGAGACAACAATATGTTGATCTGATTTTTAAGGTTTAAAATCGTGAATCATACGGTTGAATAATTACATTTAAATTACGTTTTAGATATGAAACGAAATAAAAGAAATATTATATCTGCTTGCAGTTGCAGAACTTAAAAAACTTTTACTTGCTTGCTTTTACTGATATTATTTTTAAGTAAATTCCACATTTCAGTCATCTGTCGTGTTCAGAGGCCCTAAATTTTCGATCGCCACGCCATCTATCCTTTCCGATAGTCATCTGGGTCAAAATTAAATTTTATGCTTCATTTGATTTCCTATCAATCTGCTTTCTCTTCAAATGAAATAGTAAATGATTGTGGTCAAAAATAATTTAAAAATCAAAATAACTGGCCACATTCCAAACTAGTTTGAATAAATTTGATATTAGCTATAAATTTAATCCCGCGCGGACGGAGTCGCGGGCGACAGATAGTTATGTATATAATATTTCAGCTGTTATTCAGAGTTGAATTATTATCAATTAATATAATCACTTTTGCAGTCGAAATAATTATAATGACGTTCAGATAAAAACCAACACAATCACTAAAGTGTATGATAAATTTATCAAATTTTTTACATTATCATGTACACCGGTGTTATCTACGCAAACCGTGACTAATATAACATAGTTTAATAATAATAGATAAAGGATTAAGACGAAACTTTTACAAACTTTGACAGAATTTAGTTAATAATTTATATAGCTTGTTTTTGGCACATCTTTCCTATTTGATGTTCTTTGTGTGAGGTAATGAAGGCTTCTTTTTCTTAACAATGAATTATTTAAACCTTATATCTTTGTATTATATTGATCTTTTTTAATACATTTATTTAAAAACACTATACCATATACCTGATACAAAGACGTAGCGAACAGCTAAACAATTCTCTGCCGCACTCACGGTTGTTTACTGATTATTTAAGTACTAATTCTTAACAGTTCTATGTAACTATTAGGAGACTGAAATCGCTTCCGCTTATGACATGGGCAGTGTATCGGAAGTCCACACCCGTTTTGAATAGTCTACCTGTGCGACTGGTGACAGGTGCGGCGGGCGCAGGTAGTGCTTTGTGCCCGACCCATTTCTTGTGCTTTGTGCCTTTATCCTATTTAAATTATTGAATATACTCCCGGGGGTTTAGCACGAATAATTGCGTAAAAGTATTTGTAACGTCATCAAAATTAAGACTAACTACAGATTAACAGTCTAAATGCATTCAAAGACGTTAATAAGTCCACAATAATCTACACTAAGTGTCTTCTTTAGTATCCAATTAACAACACTAGTAATCTGCGTAGCAGTTAAAGTACAAAGTTTTCTAAAACTGTCTTCAAAATAAAAGTTCTATTATTCTTACTAATCGTGGGTTTCTTAGACCGAAATCGTTAAAATTATACTGTTGTCTTTTCTTTGTCAAAGGTAACATGGATGACGATATGTTTTATGCAGAGATTTTTGTCTCAGAAAACAACACGGTAAGTTAATTAATGTAATCATAAAAAACCTGCTAACATTATGCTAGTGTTTTACATTATTTTTACTATTGAAATATATATATATATATATATAAAAGAAATTCGTTTTAGTTACACTATTTATAACTTAAGAACAGCTTTACCGATATGGCTGAAAATTGGTTAGGTGGCTTAGAGCCAGGAGACGAATATAGGATACAATTTATAATATTTTTTTTTTCGAATTTATACCTTGAAGAGCTGCTTTTTATTTAACTTACTAATATTATGCGAATGTTTAGATGGATGTGATGTGGATGGGTGGGCTACACTAATTAAGTTTTTTTGTATATCCACGCGGACGGAGTCGCGGGCGACAACTAGTATATCTACAAAATGTTATAACTAAAATACCAGTGCTGTTTCAACAGCTGGCGCGATATGTTATTCGATAGGCTGGACATATTGTATCAGTACGTTACGTGTATAACATATCAATTGAGTATATGTTATTTAGCAAGCACATATCGTATATTTATAGCATTCTGTCAACTTATTAGTCTGTAATGCATATTAAATCAGATATTTTTAAGAGTGCTTAAATTATTCGATCGCTTTTTAAATAAAAGACCATGTTTTTTTACAATTGCGTTCGGTTAATTTCAAAAACAAATGGATTAAGGTAAGTGAAATTACAGCGGACAAGTAAAAAGAGTTTTATGTCGAATACTAGCTGTCGGCCCTCCGTCCGCGCGGAATGAAACAAAAACTTAATAGCCTATGTGCTCTTCCAAACTACATTTGTTCTACATCTCTGTCAAATTTCAGCGAGATCCATGCTGCCGTTTGGTAGGCACCTTCAAACAAACCTCCACCCATCCATCCAAA